ATATAGGGAAATAACACTTTTCGGTATATATTTTATCCATTTTCAGCAGAAAATTGCTCAAACTTAGTCAGAATCATCTTGGGTAAATGAGAGTTTTACTTTGTAAAATTAGGATTCCTGCCCCATCCCCAGGGGCTAGGGCGGGGCCCCAAAGGGAACATTTACCAATATTTTCAAATTCTTATCCATTGATGACATGACAAGTATTGTATTTCACTTAGTTTACATGCTGATTTCCACATCACATCTAAACAATAAAATAAAGCTACCAGTATCTATGATATAACTCAGGTGACCGCTAAGGCCCTTGGGCCTCTTGTTTGGTATATTCTATCTATTCTTAGAAAGAAATTATTCAAACTTGATTGACATAGTTATGATGAAATCGAAATAAAATAGTATCAGAAAGTAAAGTCCTGACCTACCGCAGGAGTTGGCCAAAAACAATTGGCTAAATGACAAAAGATATCATACTTCTCAATAGCAAAATAATTTATTTAAATAGTTAATTCCCTTTGATGACATGACAATTAATGTATTCACTTTGTTTACATGCTGATTTTCACATCAAATATCAACAATGTAATTAAGCAACCTATTATATAACTCCCGTGATTGTTGAGGCCCTTTGGGCTCTTGTAACCATATCTGTTCCAGATCATCCTTACACAAAGGGGACTGCATTTTGTATAAAATTAATGGAAGGTGTGACCCTCAAGCTTTTTGGGTTAGAGAGAGAGGGTCGTCTAATAGGGGAACTTGTGGTAAATCTCTTGAATCTTTCTTCCTTTGTTGGATTGGAGGGAACTTAAATTCTTATAACATGGAGGGTGTGGCTAGAGGGGGAGCAAGAAAAGGGGGACTCAATAGGGAAAAATGAGGTTTCCCTATTGTTGAGCATTATCCTTTACTACGATTGGAGGGTCTTTGTTTAACTCACTCTGCACGAAATGCCTGTGAGCTTTTTATGATATGAGTGTCTGTCGTCAATAGGTCGCTCAAAGTTTTCTTTGAACAACTTCCTCTTAAGTACTAAACATCACAGTCATGCTATTTAGCTAGCAGCTACTTGTGAATAAATGTTGTTAATGTGATTAAGAGTGAATTATTTTGGCCTATTATAACGGTTATAGGGCTACAAATTCAAGCGCCATAACAAACCGATTCATTTAGGTCATGCGACTCTCGGAGTTACAATTGTATTTAGTTATAACTTACCGGGACATTTATATAATATACATGTAATATATTTCAACACTGATGTTTTATGGGGTCCTGAAATATCACTTATTCTGTGGTTAAAAAATTGCCAACATGTATATCATCTTTTTGATGACTTGTTGAACCTTACGCTTATTGTCCTACCTACGGTATTGCTGAAGGAGAAATTAGGTTTGCACTCTATCAGTCATTCCGGAAGTGCATTTCTTCATACTTCATAATCTTTATATTTTGGATGAGAATTCTTATTAACATTATTGAAATTGTGTATCGGGCGGCACATCTCGTATGCTTTATCACCTACAAATGTCTACAAAAGTATTCGACTACGTCCTGGGAATCAGAGTTTTGCGTACTAAAATGAAGCCCTTAACATAGAATAATATACCTTTAACCATGTTTTATAGAGCATGATTTACTGTTTTATATTGGTGTGCAAAGCTGACTTAAATATATTTCTTGTTCAGTCTGGAAAACAATACATTTATGGCTAGATCTTTTCCTGTATATGGGCTATAGACTGCTCGCTGTATTTTGCCTTTTAAACATAATTTGCCAACACTATTTAATAACAAGTTAGCGATAAAGCCCTTTGGGACCCTTTTCTTTTCTTTATAGATAAACCAACAATACGTTTAAGTAGAGGGCACTACCGATTTACTGAAGGAAAAGTGGCCATTTTGAAATGTGTTGTGGTCGCCACAGCGGAAACCGAATATATCAAGTGGGTCAGGGTAAAGGATGGAAAATCTCACGCTATTTGCATTGACAACGAAAAGTACTTTGGCGGGTTACCAAAATCTCCATCACTTGCTATCGGTGATGTAGTGAAAAGTGACGGAGGAACATATTTCTGTAGGGCGAGGAATAGAGCAGGTGAAGTGGAAAGTGACGTAGCCTTCGTCGAAATCAATAGTATTGGTGAGTTGTGAGTTCACTTATTTCTTCCTGAGTATTTATGCATCAGTGATATGATAACCTGTGAAAAATATATGATGTCTGTTTGATTTCGTCAAAGAACAGGGAACCCCATTGTTATTATTCCATTCAATTACCTAAGTGCGATTTCAAAGGCGTATATTCAAAGCGATGTGTAATAATTAGACCTATTCGTTACGTGATTTTTCTCTCCTTAACAATAGTGTTTTCTATATTAGCCATATCGGTCGTATAATTGCAATACACTTTTGAAAATGAGTGTCTAGAATTCTTTCAAGAAAGACATGAAAGCTTTATATTTCTTTATTTCCTTTTTTTGTGTTAACAGGAATTCAAATATCGAATTCGTTTTATTATGTTATATTTGATCGGTATATATATTATTTTTCAGTAAACTAAATATTACCATTGAAGTAATTCCAACAGTGTAAACCAAATGTATTTGTCACATTTAAGGAGCAATAATCCCTTTTATCGCGACACAAAATGCACAAAACATTTATATTACATCAAAATAAAATAGCAATTAATAGGATATAACTAATAAATAAGCGTATGCTACAAACGTACGTTTGTTAGAAAACAAGGGTAAACTATATTTTACTTATATATTTACAGGTGATTTAAGAACCAGGAATGATGATGTCAGTACTGTGATAAAGGATATCGGTGCTGTAATTGAGGATGCCGGTCCAATGAAGGAGGATGTCGGTGCGTAGATTAACATTTGTTTAGGTTTTTATTGTATTGATCAACGTCAGGAAAAGATCGAATAAGCAATGTGGTTGTCCAAGAAAAATTTTCAAAATGACTAGAGATTTTCATGTTTTTGAGTGTAAATAACAGGAAACTATATTGTTATTATGCAATTAATTTAACTTATTTTACCGCAACTTTTAGTTAAACCTCCGGCTTTGAATACTTTCAAAGTTAGGTGTGGTTAGTAAACACTCGTTCAATGATCTTTGTTACCGAAAATATTAGTATATTTTTTTCTAATTACCTTGTTTGTGATAACATTGCCTGGCTTTCCTAAAACTCTGTGGCGCTTTGTACTTTCGTTGTCTGAAATCATATCTGTTTCGATAATTTAGTTAGAAACAGCAGATATACCATCATTATGACCATACACGTAAACCTGTATGTATTGCTTAGCAACAATAGGCAAATGCGTTGATGATGATTGCCCCTAGGGAACTGAGTAGTCCTTTTCATCGTTACCCAACTACAACATTAGCCTCTTTGTGTGGTTCCGCACCTTTAGACCTATTTTCAGTATATTTCAGCGTTACTGTTTTTATAAAAGGGAAAAAGTGTCATGCAAACTCTGAATGTGTGTCATACATCGACGCACAATATACATATCAAATTGGTGTGGGGGTTAAGGCAAGGGGTCAGTGTGAATTGTTTTAATGGTTTAAAAATTATCATAAGCTTTAATAGATGTTCTCGGGGACCAGACGAGTTTTAATACCTGAGCTTATGCTTTACTGCTGTAACCATCATTCGTTAAGACTTCTTCGAATATCAGGCACATTTTGATGATTAGAACTTGGGACAAGATCTTAATTTAAAAATGTAAAAAAGGAAAGGATGTGACCTAATTGAAGTTGTGTAGGGGTGCTAACAAGGCAATAGGGTGGTTTCTCTGAAGCTACGCATTTTGTATTCGTGGAAGGGTTTAGTTATGTAGGTTTTTGAGTGATGATTGTTCAAGGCAAATACTGAAACCATGGGGTCAATGTCAACGTCAATGATACATTGAAATACTTGAATGGATAATAATCAAAGAAATGGTATATATTAGTTTCTACATATAAATTTCTATGTTGTTAGCATTCACAATAATATCCTTAAATAGTGTAAGGAGCACAATCAATATTCCCGTATGGAGCAAAATGTATCCATATCATGAAGTCAAATGAAGGCCACAAATCTAAATGATAAAATTACCGAAACCCTTAGTGAGCGTTTTCAAGGCAATGCTATTATTTTGTTAAGAGTAACAAACATATCTTAATGGTAATGCTATTTTGCTAATAATTTTAAGCAGTTTCGTCATTTATTTGATGCTCTTAAATTTGACATTTATATTTTTTTCATTTCATTTTGTGTTTACTGACATTACAGATGTTGCCAAGTTCACAAAAGCTGTCCAACAAGGAAAGTTTGAAGACATAGGAAAACTATTACAAAACAGAGATTTTGAGTTGGAACCATTTTTAGTGAACCCACTGCTTATTGTAGCAGTCTTTGGTTCACCCGAAGTCGTTGAATATATAGAGAAGTGTAGTTCAATTGAATGCGACTGGAATGACAATCTAGAAATCCGATCAGGGGTGTGTGACAGCTTGTTGGATGAAATGAAAGATAGAAAAGCTACACCGTTGTTTGTTGCAACATTTTTGGAAAATACTGCAACCGTTAAGTCTCTGGTGAAGTATTCAGACAAAAGGAATATTGCATATTGTATGAAGAATCTACATCTCAACAAATCCATGGAAAAAGTCTACATGACCGAGTTTGGAGAGCGACTGAAAATTAAATATTCACGGCTTAAACCTGCAGTGGTACCTGGTCATCAGAAGAAGACTGACGGTACATGGGGTAGAGTATTTGTAATCTACTCTCGAGATGTACTGCGACCTGATGATCACGTACAGGAAGGGATAGGATTGGTGATGTTGCGAAACCCTTACGAAGTGAACAAAGAAGATTTGATAGTGTCAAACAGCCAGAAACCAAATAGATCAATTTCTGAACAAGACAACGAAAGGGCAAAACAAGCGATTCAATTATATAGCAAGAAATTGTGGTGTAACCACATCAACCTCAATATCATCCGTGTTTCCTCCGTGCGGTCTTGTAAGGGAAACATAGTGGAGCCTGAAGTGTGTGTTGTCCTGTGTTGCATTACAAAAGGGGTTGTGCCTCTTGGAGAAAAAGAATTTCCTACCAGACTTGCCATAAGTGAAGACGATTTCATTTACACTGATGTCCGCGAAGGTATTTTTACGTACGGTGGATATGATACAAGACCGAGTACTTTTCGTCATGATTATCTTAAAATGGGGTGTGACATAAGTTCCATATCTGAACAAAATTTTGGTGGAACAATTGGTCCGTTTGTGAATTACGAGGGTAACTTGTCTTTTCTGACATGCGCTCATGTGCTGTTTGATGTCGGACAACAACACGACGTTGACTTCACCGATGATGGAATCCGTAAAATCAATGTCGTGCAGCCCGGTATGTCTTCTTCCGTTCCAAGCGGTGACCCATGTGGATTTGTGAAGAGGGCAATTTTTGACCCAAGTTTGGATCCCAGCATTGATGTTGCCGTTGTAACTATATCTGACCCAGCTAGGATACCGAAAAGAGGAAGATTTGCAAATGATCACAGTTACAAGCTTGCAAGATCAGGTATGTACACTTACGATAGATACGTGTTTTTTTTACTGAATTTGTCATCACTCTGATAGTCCTTCTCTTTTTTCATCTTGGTGTCAATATCATCCAGCACTGGAGTTGGAAGTGATCTAGCAAGTATTCGGGTTTCAAACTCGAAGGCATGAAAGTACAACGCTTGTTTATCCAGTTCACCTTAAAGTTCATGCGATAGATTTAATGATAAGTTATGGGTGACTAATAATCTCTGGTAGTCACCAGCATGTAGATGAACTATGACAATCAAATCCCATTTAAGTTTAGAACAGTGTTTTGTTTCAAAAAGAAAATGATACCTCAAATGAGTTTCGGTCAATATCAATGTATCAGCAAATTTTCAGAAAATGTTGTCATCTTTCTCATTTATGAACGAATATTGAGATAAACAAAAACAATGAGAAGATCGCAAAGAAAAATGTTAAGTTTCATTCTCATAGTGTACGGCAAAGGCTAATGCCACCATATCCATTTACTGAAAATATTGCTGTGTATTGAATAAAACACCGGTCTGACCAATTTGTTGCCATGTTAACACATATGTACAGATATTCAGCATATTTCCATCAAACTTTTCTCTGCACCAGCTATTGAAAATTCCATCCGGTGTATTGAGTAATATATGTAGTTCCTTAATTAAAAAAAGATTACATTGTAATATTAGTTTTACATTGGAATATTAGTTTTCAACAAATCAAATCAAAAGTTTGAGTCTGTGTGCCGGATTGGCAAATTTCGAAAGCTGCCGTTAAGAAGTTCATCTGCAGGGCGCAATCGTAGCAATACATGTCTGTTTGGCCTGCTTTTTATGTTGACAAATCCAAAACGTTTTTATTTATAAGACGTACATCAATGTTGTAAATATACGATATTACCCTTGTTATTCTAGGTTTTATGGAGTTACCAGAATATAACACTGGTTCGATAGACTTTGATGCACGAATCTCTTTAAGCTCTCCAGTTTTCAAATTCGGAAGCAGAACCCACCTGACACGGGGTGTACTGGTTCATTTTGGTATAGAAGTGCGGCCTCTGTCTTGTACTATGCAGACTTCCTCAAAAGCAGGTAATGTTTGGATAAAAAATCAGTATGAGGTATTAGGATTAGAAGGACAATCCTTTTTCGAGCCAGGTGACTCCGGAGCAGCAGTGTTTTCACACTCTCCTTTTGACAGGTCTTTATGCTGCATCGGTATAGCGATAGGTTCATTGTCTAATGGATCTGCCATTGTCACGCCAATAGGGGCGGTGTTAAAAGCACTCGGGGAACATCATTGCGAAATGGCATCGTTTCCGTAATATTTTAAGTGGCTGACTGGACAGTTGGATCAATAAATATTGTATAAACGGAAGATAAAGGAGCAGTGGGATAGGACCAACAAGGACAACTGATGTAATTTATTTAAACGTTCTTTTTCAGCGGTATGATAAAGGACTTTACCACAAATTTGACAACATTATTTTCAAAGAAAGTTATTAATCATGTAGACAGAATAGTGGATCCGATCAGGGAACAAATATATATATGTTTAGATAAGAAAAACTGAAATATTAACAAATCCGTAGTTCTTATTCAAATCAGGTAACCTTTGGCAAAATATGAATATTAACATTTGGCCTGGAGCATTTTTTGGCGAAGGGGACTCAATTTTGTATAAACAGAGGGTATGACCCGTCTGGTAGCAGAGGGGCGGGGCACAATAGGGGAATTTAAGTTGTAAACCTTAAAAATCCTTCTACTGTACCAATGTACAATAAATGTAAGGGTTTTATTCAAATTTGGCTAGGAGCATCCTTGGTCAATGGGGACTCAATTTTGTATAAACAGAGGGTGCGGAGGGCCAGGGCGCCGTAGGGGAATATCCCGTTAAAACCTTTAGAATCCTTCTTCTGTACCATTGTTAGATTTTCATCTAAATTTGACTTGGATAATCCTTGGGCAAGGGAGATTCAATTTTGTTTTAACGGAGGATGTGGCCTCCCTGGGTGCAAAGGGGCAGGGTCCAATAATGAAAATTGTGGAAAATCTTTAAAATCCTTCTTCTTATGTACCATTGGAGAAATTTTATCAATATTTGGTCCAGAACATCCTTGGGCAAGGATGGCCCTGTCTTGTTTGAAGGGAGAGCGTGGCCCTCCTAGAGGCAGAAGGGCTAAGCTTAATAGGGAGAACATATAAATAAATGATTATAATCCTATTCCTTTAGTATGATTTAAGGGATTTAGATCAAATTTTGTGCAGAGTATCATATGGCATAGGGGACTCATTTTTGTATAAAAGAGTGTTGACCACCTTTTTAAAGAAAGGCATGGCAAATAAGGGAATTTGAGGTTATTCTACAAAAATCCTTCTTCCCCAATATGATTGCAGTTACTTTAAATGAATTTGGTCCAGAGCATCATTTGGTAGATGGACTCTGACTTGTAACAGAGACCGTGGTCCCCCTGGTAGCAAAGAGGAAGGGCTCAGTAGTTACAATGGTAGTCTTTATTTTATACTCATTTTTTTTAAACAAAATGCAACTAATAAAATAAACAAATAAACTACTTTTTTAGCATGCACAATTTTACATAATCATGAAGATTTGATTATCATTGTTTATTATGGAAATACCAATAAATGTTCTGTTTTTTGTATTATACCAAAACACTTCATGATATTATGCATGTTTTTTTGTTTTTATGTTATGTGCTGCAGTTATAACTCATAAATATGTATTCTGCAAAAGTAGTCTTTCCTCTCGAGAACTGAGCTTGAGATTGTGTTATAGACAAAGATGAAAACAATAAAATAATCTTATTAATAAAATTGAATTATCTTCTTATTATTTTATATTGTCTTTTGTCCATTCGTTGAACAAAATATGAAGGAATATTACATTATAATATATCTTTAACTCTAAATAAGTAGAGCAAGGAAATATGTCCTTGTCTGACTCCCAAACACAAATTGTTAATTTAGCACATTTGATTCCGGTGACCTTGAACGAGGGTCTAGGTCACCAATGTTTACCAAACTTATTTATATTACCAAGAACAACATACTTGCCATATAGTAAGACCCAGGAACTTTTTGTAATGAAGACACACATTTTAAAGGAAAGTTGAAAAGAAAGCTTTGTTTTTGTTTTGTTTTTTGAAATCAAATGTGTTCTATGACAAATTTACCGGCTGTCAGTTTTCTGTCGCCTGCAACGGGAGGCGAAATATAGGTATTATGTTGTCGTCATCGTCGGTTGCGTCATCCGAGACAAGGTTTCCGTGCAATAACTTAAGTTCCTTTGGTTTGATTGAACTCAAATGTCATACATAGCTTTCTTACTAAAGGTGCTTGCTAAGGATTGCTTTTCAGGTCCAAATGTCAAAGGTCAAGGTAACTGTTACTATCAATAGAAAAAAAATCCGTGCAATATCTTGAGTTTTTTTAAGCTGATCGAGCTCAGACTTCACACAGTGCTTCCATACTAAAAGTGATTGCTTGGGATTGCTTTTCAGGTCCGAACGTCAAAGAACAATGTCGCCGTTGCTATAAATTGAAAATCTGTTTCCGTGCGATACGTCCAGATTCCTTGGACCGATCAACCTCAAAACTTCACACTGACTGTTATGTCATGGGATTGCTGGTGTTCTAGGCAAAACATTAAAAGCACTAAATGTTTTTTTCTCATATTGGTTGTGTCGTCCGAAGCAAATTTTCCGTGCAATAACTCGACATCTATTGGATTGATCGAAGTAACCGTTGACATAAATAGATCCCGTCTTCATAAACTCATTCGACTTGCCTACGCAGGCGACACATCCACTCCTGTGGAATTTTTCTTTTTATCAATTCCTGATGTTGAAGGATATGATTAATAGCCAACTTTTAAGCAGGTATGAACAATAGGCTCGTTTGAGAACAATGCTTACTTATGTGTCCAAAATGGGAATACGCTCATAAGCATTGAAATTGCACATACATTTCTGCTTAAATCTTCAATAAAAAGAACAACTCTTTCTTGAAATGGTGTACTATTTGGTATAAAAATTGAATATAAAACAGTTGGAATATGTTGAACACGATGATGATATAATTTTCAGACTGATTATGTCATTTGAATGCTCTAGGAGGACTTGTATCACCCACACAGGTGTAAGTCAATGAGGTGCCTTTTGTCACAAAATGAATTTTCAAATTAACGCTTTCTGATTTAAGCTTACTTTACCAGTATCTTTTAATGAGTATCTTGTTTTAAAATTTCAAGCGGGAAGCCGACGCTAATGTTTAATCCCCATTGGCGTTGACCCTACCTTTTAATTATTACTGATGATTTGATTCCGGAATTCCTTTTTTATCTGGGTGAATGTCTTAGGTGCTTCTGATTTTATCATCTCACCATCGTCAGATCGGTTGTTCAATTCAAATTGCCCTTCGTTATAGTTTCATCCCTCCGTCCGTCCGTCATTCTGTTCATCCTTGAACAAATCTTAGTCTTGTGAGCGCTATTTCTCTAAAACGACCGGAGGGATCTTCTCGAATTTCAAATAAATTTGCCGAGCATTTCGCGTTTTTGGAATGATCGATAACTAAATTTGCCCACAGGCGGCCATTTTGAATATTGACAGATTGTTAGCGCTATTTCTCAGGAAGATGTGGGTAATCTTCCTCCAATTTCACAGGAAAGTTCCCAATAATCCCGAAACATGCATATCTAATTTTGGAACTGATTAGAAAACCAAGATGGCAAAACAGACTGTCTTTTTTTACTCTTGAGTGTTAAAGAACGGATTTTTTTTTCTTCTTATTTTAAGCTCGACTGACCCTGAATGGTTCCATGGTCCTTAATGATCCAATAAGGATTTCTGGACTGATTAGATCATCAAGGTGGCTAACAGGCTGTCATCTTGGAATTCTAAAGATAAAGTTTGTAGGCTTTATTTCTCAGAACATGCTGTGATATTTATTTTTTTCAAATTTCACATGATGGGGTCTTATGGTCCTTAGTTACCATTTGAAATTTCTGGAATGATCAAAGTACCAAGATGGCCGATAGGCACGCGTCTGGAATAATAAAAGGTAAAGTTAGCACTATTTCTGAGAAAGTACTGGAGGGTTCTCTCTAAAATTTCACATGTAGATTCCCATGTAAGTCTGTCACTGAACATAGCTCATATTTTAGACTGATTTGTAAAACGAGATGACCACCAGACACCTATCTTATATTTTGACAGTTCACTTTTGATTTTACCTTTTCTCAATACGTACTTGTCAGATCTTTATATCATATTCCATATGTTGATTTTCATTATAGTTTGCATTAAAGGTTGATTAAAACAATAAAATGGTCGCCTAATAGTCAACTTGTACTATAATATTTTCAAAGAAGTTCTATACAGCTCTTTTTAATATTTGAATTTTGGTTCCTCTTGTGATACATTAAGTAATGTGCCTGTTAACAGGTCAAACGACAAATACCAGTGTCACTTACAGCAATATGGAGCTTTGATCAAAATAAACAGTGTAGGACCTCAAAACTTGACATACCTGTAATCTTCATTGTGCAGAACATGCATGTTATTTTCAAGATATTTAAACACAACAGGATACCGAAATGGCAACACAAATGCTATGCCAAGTCAAGGTCGGTGAAGTTTAGCATCATAAAAAGACTGGAAATATTTTAACAGAGAAAATCAATATAACGAATACAAACCAAGGAGTTCCAGAAGTTTTCTCGTTTTCCTCGACGGTACTCGGGAGACAAGAAACGACAAAACACATGAATCATCATGATCAAAACATCGACATATATGTAGTCCTAAGAATTAGATGGATTTTAAATGAGATCATGATGGAAACCGTAAAGTTATACTCAAAAAAAAAGCGATAATGCGACTTATTAAAAACCATAAGTTTGTAAAATACTGATCTTTCTAAAATAAATGGTTTGTCAGCTTATCATACAGGTAAGTAGTAAGCTGTCTTCGATGGTCATGTTGTGAGTAAAACAAAACGTTTTAGTGTCTTTAACTTCAAGATCTGATTAGTACATACAATCCCATTGATCAAAACTATTCTCGCAAATCAAAGACAGCGAAATATCTCAAATCGGGGTTAAGAGAATAGGTAAGGTCTTTATTACCTGTCTTGTTCAGCTAATGGATAGATAAGCCCGTATGTGAACACTAAATAAAAATTGAGTAAATGAAGTTCCAGAGTTGTGCCCCCTTGATATTATTATGGGCAGTCAGTAGGACGACAGTGATTAAAATAGTAGCTAATATTTGATAAGTAGGTTACTGTGACCGTGTTATATTGGCCTAATTATGTCAATTATTCTTCACTTTTCGTGCTTACCAAATTATATGTTTAAAGTATTGTAACCAAATCTCAATAAGTGTGTAAGTGTGTGTGTGTGTGTGTGTGTGTGTGTGTGGAGGGGGGAGGGGGGTTTGAACAGAGTAATGGGGGTATTTCTTCTTCTTACTTTTTAAACACTTTTATTCATGTAATTACTATTCTCATTGGTACAAAAGCAACAAAACTGTTTTATTTTATTTAGACATGCATCCGACTGTCAGAGATATTAAACTAAAATAAAAACAAATATGCATTAATACTTACTTTTTGATATATCTGAAAGTCAGATTCATGTCTAAATAAAGACAACAGTTCAGTTGTGTGACTTTTGTGCTAATCATGAATAAAAGTGTTAAAAAGAGGATAAAGAAAATATCTCCCCCCTCCCCACCTCTAATTTACACAACCCCCTCCCTCCACCTCCCGATTGATACACATTTATTAAGTTTTTGGTTTACGATACCTATAAATCCAAACAGAAAGAATTGATGACATGATTAACCCAATATATAACAAAGTCACAGTGACCTACTTATCAACTATATGCTTCCTTTTTCGGCCATTTAATTATTTGCAGCTCTAGTGTAACACAATACATCAAAAATATGAAAAAAAAATATAACATGTAATTTTTGGTCCCCCACTTTACCCCCTTCATATCTTGGAATGGTCTCAAACCTTCATTTCATATCACATCATGATGGCATACCCACAAGGTATGTATATACAAAAAAAGGAAACTTATCGGTGATAGCAACCAGAAGGCCTAAATTGGCACTCCTCCTTTTCTCTGTAGAACTGATAGAGGATCATAATAGATAACTGACTGTGTCGAGATAGATAGAATGGGCTTCGGAGGAGAATATTGACGCATCAATTTGCTACCGTGGCCGCGGCAACCTTCTGGTCATCTTTTGAACAATCGGTATTAAAGGATTAAAAGTCCTGATATGATAACTGTAGTTTTGAGAAAAACGTAAGATTAGGTAAGACTTACCTGTCTTATAGGGTGAAAGATCAACCTCCGGCAGAACCAGAAGCTATGGAGGAATATCAATCATTACAAAGGATTGGATCGTGTCGATATTAAACAGTACATTATTATTCAAGTAAAATTTTAATTGTCGTCCGTGGCGATTAACATGACAAGTTTACCGAGGACTGATTGGTTAAGTTTGTCAGCGGTATAAACATTACAACAATCAAATGTAGGGTTCAATGATTTAACTTGTTTTAAACCAAGATTATTCAGTCAAATATTACGTTTACGTTTACTCTGTCTTTTAATTTATAAACGCAGTAAGTAAAGATAAATCG